TACGTGATTCTTATATTATTCAATTATTTGATCATTCAGAAAATTTATTTATTAATATACAAAGATTATCTATTTAAAAATCTACTTACAGCCAGATTATTCAATTAAACACATCCATTATTTATGAGCATATATTGAGACTTTGATTTAGTTTCTTTGTTTATAATAAATTTTGGTTTATTTGCCAACGAATCTTTAATATAGTAAATTTAGTTCCTTCCGGGGGTTGTCTATTGTTTTACACACCTAAGGCAGAAGATTAACTATAAAAATCCAAAATTCGACAGTATTCATTTTCTAGGGCTTATCGTTACATTTCATCAAATCATAAAATTCCCACGTTCTGTTTGGGCATAATCCTAACTGAAGTTTAAGACGATAAATTTGAATTGTGTCCAATTTGCCGCCTAGGAAGAATTTTTCATTGGACTTTCGATTATATTTGTAATGATTTGTCAAGAGGACCCACCTAGTATTCATAGAATGACTTTCATATGATTGGCTGTTCAAATCAATTTAATTTTGTATTATTTATACAGTTTAAAGTACTTTACAGAAACGAATATCTTAATGCACAGTAACTGCATAGTGACTATATAGTTACTACGTAATAATGCTGGTATAATATCAATAATAGCTAATTAAATTACTTTATCTGCAATTTCAAATAATTGAATAATATAAGAATCACGTAATAGTAGCATAAACATATTTATCATTTTTGATGTCAACGTTAGCTATTAATTCCTAAATGTTACTGGTACACAAGTTAAGTCCAAAGCATAGAATCAGGAATGAATACTAAGACCATGATAGGAACATTACACAACTCAAAATGAAATAGAGATTAAATAAATAAATAAATAAAGCATCTATGATGATGCAATCTTTTTAACATTGAACTCTATCTGAAACCACACATATGGATAATAATCCTTATCAATTAGATTTTGATATTCTTCAATGTTTTCGTCCTTTTGTGTTTCTCGACTTAATGCACCACCAAATTTTCCGTATTGATTGTTTAATATTTCTCTTATTTTTTTATCCATCTTTGGCTTTGGCTTAAATAAATCCATAAAATATTAATATTACATAGAATGATAGTAATTTAAAATCAATGTGTTGTATCTGGAGTAGCTACCCAGTGTTTATTTCACGTGTGCGGATCCAATCAAATTACTTATTTCAACAAATCAAGTAATTTGATTGGATCCGTACACGTGAAAAATAAACACTGTAGCTACCTATCTGAAGTAGCCGTTTTAGATTAAAGTGGCATCCGACCAAGTTAACGCATGAAGACCTAATTTGAAGGGTCTAGTCTCAGTCAAGTGCTACTTCGGACATCTAAAGTAACTACTTCCGATAGGTAGCTACTCCAGATGCAACAAATACATACCTTTATAGTTGCTGACATGAAATCTGGAGGTAATCCATAACGAAGAACGGATTCTACATACACTTTCATTGCCTTGAAATGAATCCAAGCTGCAAAAACTTCGCCAAAATTTGTATTTGCCAAACGCAATAAAGCAGACTATATAGAGTATTGGGATATTAATTAATGTCGCACGCTTTAAAATAATTTTGA